GAGCTTGTTAGTATATGGATGTCCTAGAGACAATCTTTTGATTAGATTAGGACAAATGTGGACCTTTTATATTGTCGCAAATAAATAAAAACACTCTTTATCCTGTTTCATATTTTGTCTCAATATTATTGTTAATATTTTATATGAGTGACTGGATAAATCCCTTGGAATAGTACAGGTATCTCTTGAGTATTTGTGATGAGATCACGATCATGAGGATTCAAGGATACCGCACGTTTATTCCTAATTTTATGTTCCTAGTCTAGAGACACTGAGAATAGGGATCAGTGGTCTCGGGTAAGACTAGCACGACTTATCTACTTGTATTTGGATACAAGGTAAAGACCTCATCTGCTACAGATATGGATATGTCTTAGCTAAAGTCATGGGTGGACCTATAAGGGTATAGCTCGCACTGAACAGACCCACAAAGAGACTCTATGAGGAAATCTCACAGAGAGTATCATTAGAGTAGTCTCTTTATATTTGGGTATGTCTTTCCTTAGACTAGAAGTTATTACCTAGACTGTGTTCTAGGAGGCACGCTTTGACTGTATACCTCGTCTGCCTGAAACATGGAGACTCATAGGTACAATGTTGGGCTTGTCCTGAAAGAGCACAAGGCTAGGGTGATAAGCTGAAGGAATTCGTCAAATCTCTGTAAGAGATTAGGTTATCTGTAAACCGAAGAAATCGAGATGACATTTACAAGGACTCGAGAATCTATGCATAGTAAAAGAGGTCATGAGATGATCTGCCGTTAGAGTCAGTAAATTGAAGATTCCCTATTTCGACCCTAAACTGCAAGGGTTGTTACGTTTCCTTACCCTAGGTTTAATGAGGAAGGTAACCGAGATGAAAGAAAATACATACGGCAACCAAATATGTGTAATAGGATGATTATGTCATTAACCTAACTAGCTCTGGGGCAACAAAGCATTGCTAGTGCTCTGTGTTGTCATTAGATGGGTTGTGGGCTTGTTGGGCCCAAGCCCATTTATGTCAGTTGCTATGTTGGGCCTAATGGGTCACACACTAACACCTTATTGTCATGCTAATATAGCATAAAAGGTATTGGGCCTAATAATGGCTGTTAGCCCAAGAAGAAGTTTGGAAGCCCACCAAAAAGGAAAAGGACGCATGGATCATGTAATGGGCTTGGATGGTCCAAGACATTACTAATTAATTTAATTAGTTAAATTTATTATCAAATATTTAAATTTTGAATTTTGAATTTTGAATTTTGAATTTTGAATTTTGAATTTTGAAATTCGAATATTTGAATTTGAAATTTGAATTTTGAATTTTGAATTTTGAAATTTGAATTTTGAATTTTGAATTTGAATTTTGAAATTCGAATATTTGAATTTGAAATTTGAATTTTGAATTTTGAAATTTGAATTTGAATTTTGAAATTTGAATTTTGAATTTAGAATTGAAATTTAGAATTTGAATTTTGAATTTAAATGTTTGAACTTTTGAATTTAAATGTTTGAATTTGAATTTGAATTGGCTATGAAAAGTTGTTTCATAACAAAAGGATAAGGTAAGATCTTGTTGGAACAAATCCCAAGTATCAAGAGGAGATCTTTGAGCATCATCCAAGGCTGATTTGGGGCACTGATTTTGGGTCTTGTGATGGTCATAGGATCAACCAAATGAGCTCCAATCAGATTTGGTTTGTTAAGAGAATAAGTGAGTGACTTGGTTCAAGTTTGAATGCAACTGCTCAACGTATCTGGACTGTTTTGAGGCTGAATGGGACGCACCATATGGCTGGTCATATGATGGTTGTTAAGTCAGATTTTTGTTGAGATATGCACTTGATATCATGAGGATATGATAGGAGGCTGTTGGCAAGATCTGATTTGCAATAACTCCACTAATTCCTCTCCTAGTGTGCGCTACATAGGGCTGATTTTTGAGTGACGAAATCAGATTTTTATTCACTCATTCTCTCATGTCCTTTGGTCATCTTTTTGTGAGGTTTTCTTAAGAGAGTTTTGAAAATTACCTAGCACTTTCTAAGTGAATTCCATGCGCAACTTTTGTGATTTTTCTTGCTGAAAATTCACTTAACTAAACACCTTAAAACCTTGCCTCCTACCTCTCCATTAGGGACGCCTAGCTTGCCTCCCTTGAAGAAGAGTTCTTCCGTCTTGACAAAGGGTGATGTGGATCAACATTAGAGGGCTTGTATCTTCAAGCCTCACCTTGATCATCTTTAAGTTTTTGAAAGCAAACAAGGTAACATCCATGTCCTAAAGTATGTTTCTTGATATGGTATGTGTAATTCCGCTTTGAAAATTTTGTTTTCATCCTCACATGCCTACGACCCTCAAGGCCATTTTACTTTCACTTTGAGATAGGCTCATTGTCTTCATTGTCCTCCTCCTTGTCAGAGAAGGTGATAGGTTTCTTAGAGGTGGCTCCTTCTGGTCTTTTGGTGATGCTGAATGCTCTTTTCAGCCTCTGACTGGAACGTTCCCTCTTTCTGGGGGGTGCTTTGGCAGAAGATATAGGGGGAGGTTTCTTGCCCTGCTTGCTCTCAGTAGCAGCAGGGGCTTCTTTCTTTACCTTGGAAGGAGAGGGAACGAATTTTCTTGCCTGTGTGTGGGAGGAAGAGGTTGCAGATTTTGAAGGTGTTGCCTTCGTGGTTTTCTTTTGTGGGGTATCAGTGCCCTCTTCTTCATCATCAAACTCACCAATGTCAATTCTGACGTTATAACCTGTAGGGAATGAAAGCTCTGATTCAATGTAGGTGCTCCTCAGACCATTCCATGTTTTGAAATCGATGACAGACCCAACCACCAGGCCTTCATCTTCAGAAGTGGTTACACCAGCTCTTAGACAGAGCTTTGTAATTAGGCAGGGAAGGGAAACGATGGTTTTTCTGAACTCCATCTCCAGGTTGCCGTGAATGAGGGGTACTACATCAATGGGGATATTTTTCATGATGCAGTATAATTGCACCTGTAGTGCCCACTTGACAGTGGCATCATGAGTTGAGGGGCTGAGGTTGGTGTTAGCAAACAAAGTCCAGAATCTAGCTTCGTCCTTCAAACTACCCTTGCAGAGGGCTCCCTTGGAATAGACGGGGTCACCAATGGTGATCAAGTTCTTTACGTCCGGCACGAACTTTAGAACCTTTCTGCTCTCTATGTACCCACTATACGGGCAGTTGGGTACAATTGGAAGGTGGAGTACCTCCTTGATGGCTTCAGGGGAGAATGAGACTTTCTTCCCTCTTACAACTACCTCATCAACCTTGTAACCTTTAGGTAGTCTCTTTGCATGGTACAAAAATTCAGCCACCAAGGAGGGGAAGAACTCTCGTACGTCTGTTGCAAACCAGGTCCATTTGAGTTTGCTCAAAGCTCTCTTCATGACGGATGCCAGAGGAGCTTTGTCTTTCAAGAAAATGTTCCTCTCTGGGTAGAGAGACACCTTTTCTTCATTAATTTCGGGTTCCTGGTCAGCACTAGCCATAGGGGTGACAATTACATAAAGTCTAGTCATGGTTATAGACGAAGGAAAGGTTAGGGCAAAATGCAGAGAAGGGTGATGAAGAGAAAAAAGTTTCTAAGTTAGCAAGAGAAATGGTAAGGTTTGAGAAAGAGAAGAGAAGAGTTTAAATAAAAACGCAGAGGAGGAAAGGTGAGGAGTTTTTCAGGACGTGGAGGTTAAAGAAAGGAAGTTTAAGAAATAGTGGAGGGGAATGTTACAAAATGAGTGGTCAGGGGTTAGTGGTGTTTACTGCTGATGATGATCTAAGGAGGTGGAACGGTTTAGGTTAGAATCGTGGGAGAGAGGGAAAGAGAAGGGGAGCAATTGCATTAATGGCTCAGTGGACAGTTGCTTTTGCAGGGCACGTTTTCAAAAAATTTGAAATGAGTGCAGATTTGATAACGGCTGCGTACCTTGGGGTGACTCAGCAGGGACAGGTGTCCCTTTCGTCCCTATCTCTTTCGTTCAGGGAACGTTCCCCTCCCTTAATTTCTACTGAATCTAATATTTCCCTAAAAAGAAATTATATAATAACAATATGAATTTCTAACATTCATCATGGACTAAAATTATAAAACAAAAATGCAGAGATAACAATTATTTTGGATCATGAATTTCTAACAATATGAATTTCTACTGTATAAAATTATTATTATTATTATTTATTATTTTCCTGGGTGTATGTGGTTATTGAACCACCCCAAAACTACGTTCCTGCCACGGAACGTATTTCAATTATTTTGGATTAGAGGTGAACATAAGACGTTCTCTCTCTTTTTGGGAGCTCTGTGGTTAAGTTTAACCACCCCAAAATTTTGCTCTTGTCAGAGGGAAAAGGCATCCACTGGGTTGCCTCCCAGTCAGCGCTTAGTTTAATGTCTTTAGCTAGACATGGTACTTACCTCTTATTCCTCTGAGGTAGATGTTGAGGGAACTTAATGTCCCCTGGCAGTTTTCCTGGTGGTCTGGTGTTGAGGCTAGTAGTTATCTGTCCCAGGTGGGATTCAATGTTTCTGACCACAACATCGTTCCTGGTAACATATTCCTTGACGTAATTCTCCAAGGTATTGATGCGTTGGTCATCTTTAGGGAATGGAGCATAATTGGTTCTTCTCTGTTGATCATATGCTCCATTTCCCATATTGTTGCCTTGTTGAAATTGTTGCTGCTGATTGTTGTATGGTCTTTGGTTCATGGGTGGTCTCCATTGTGGATTATGGTTCTGATCTTTCATTAAGGTGCCTCCAGAATTCTGGTTGTTGTTGCATCCTACATGTTGATTGTCCCTGGATTGGATGAAGTTTTTGTTCCTAAATTTTTTTGCATAACATACCAAGGCTGTGGATGGACAGTCTATTGAGTCGTGATTATCACCACAGGCTGAGCATGGTTCACTCTCAGAGGCTGTGAGTTGTAAGACTTTCATTCTTGGTTGTTCTTGGTCAGATTTCAGATTCTTCACCTCATTCATCAGTGTAGCCAGTTGGGCTTTCATGGCAGTTTGTTTGTCTAATTCTAGCATGTCTGGCTTCCTTACTGGACTCATTCTTTCTAGTAGCCATTGGAAACATCTTTCTGCAGTGCCTTCTATTATTTCGTATCTGGACTCAAGAGTTCCTGTGAAAAAGTATCCTCCTGCAACAAAATCTAAATATGATTGAGAAGTATGATCAATTCCTTTATAGAAAGACTGTAAAATTCACCATTTCTCCACCCCATGGTTTGATCATTTTCTGATGATGTCCTTATATCTCTCCCATGCTTGATAGAGATTTTTTCCATAAAACATTCTGAAGTTAGATAGTTCAGCTCTAACATCAGCTTGACGAGACATAGGGAAAAATCTCTCTATGAACTTATTAGAGAGTTCTTCCCATGAGTGTATAGATCCAGGGGTGAGAGATTTCTTCCAGATCTTGGCTTTTGAGCCCAAAGAATGAGGAAACAGCCTCATTCTCATACTCTCTTCTGTCACACCCTCAGTTCTGAAATTATCTCAAATATCTTGAAAATTGGTGAGGTGTGTGTAAGGATCTTCTGCAGGGAGTCCATTGAAGACTCCAGCCTCCCTGATCATGTGAAACATGATGGGTTTTAGTGCAAAGTTGGGAGCTACAGGGGGGAGGATTACTCCTTTTTCTGGTCTATTCCTTGAAGGGGAAGCCAGAGCTCTGAAGTTCTGTTCAGGAGGAATCTCTTCATTGTTGTTGTTGTGAATAGCCATGTTTGTTTCAAAAATATTTTCCCTGAGATTACTTCTTCTCTTGTGAAGAGTACGTTCTGGTTCAGGATCAAAGAAGAACTCAGGTATTTCAGTGGAGTGGTGAGAATCTGTTTCAGACTCTTCACTTATAAACCATAAAACACAGACAGTATGAATAGCAAATTTGTGACAAAAAATCAATAAATGAAACATTTACAGAGTATGTACTTAAAACAGTTAAAAGGACAGAATTTAGTTTTACTATCCCCGGCAACGGCGCCAAAAACTTGTTGGGCCCTGAACTTGTTGGTTGTTTAAGATATTCTTGTGGAGGACGTTCCTTTCTTTCAGTTCATCAAGAGAAACACATTCGTTCTCTTGACTTCAACCCAAGTGCGCAAGTGCACGCATCATGTAATAAGCGGGACTATTAGAGCCCAGATTATGGTTCCCACGAGGATAGTACTCTAAGTAATGCCTTTAAACTATTTTAAAAGAATAAAAATGAAAAGAGAAGTTAGTAATTGATCTGTTTGGTCAAACATTCCGTACTGTCTTGACAACGTTTCTCAAGAACAGTAAGTTCAATCTGACAGCAAACAGCTCCCCGCGTCGTTATGTATGATCTCCTTCTTGATGAGAGAAGGAACAACAGTATTCATTGGAGAATTGTTAATACAAGATTGAATAAAGAAAATAATAATAATAATAATAATAATATATTTAAGAGACAACAAGATGGAGTGATAAAACAGTTTTTAACAGAATGAACGGATCCATTGTTCCATTCTTAAATAGTTATATTCTCCACTCAAGACTTAACACTTATGGCTTTGATCAGGTCTTTTCACTGCCAACTCTGATTCCTAAGCTCATGGACTAAATGGCTCACAAGTTTCCATATTCCTATGGCTCCCTTGACTCCAACAGTTACTAAGCACGGGACCTTTTGTGAACGAGATGGTCCCTTATTCCTAAGGAAACCAGCAGTGTTATTTCAACAACACTACCTTCCCCTCTGGTTAAGCTGTCTAAAATCCCTTCCTTATGGAAGTTTCTTTCTCAGTATGCGTTCAATTTCCATTGAGTTGTTTTCTTGACTGCATGAAAGGGGCGGTGTGAACAGTGCTCAGAGGGATGCAAGTTGCTTGGATGGGACACATATTATTGAGATTTGCCTTTTCTTCTGCAGTCCCCATGCCTTGCTTTCCTCTTAGCCAATAGGAACTCTTTATTCCCTGTTGTGCACGTTTCTTCCCACTTGATTTTTGTACCTCTTGTGCTTTATGGAAGCTTCTTTTCAATGTTACCTGCAAAGTGTGCAGAGGGATTGAGTTAATGGAGCAGGTGTATTTAATGTTCCCATTTTGTTCCCCTTTTTCTATATTTCTCAAATGATTACATTATCATCCGTTCCCCCACTGTGTTTTTGTCACAAAGATATAAATACGTATTTTTAATGCAAAAGTTGCTCATCAGATGAGGGAACGGAAGGTATTTTGCCATCAAAATAGGCTTAGATGGGAACGAATTTTTGTCCCATCAGCCATGGAGTGTGTTCTTGAGTTCTCTTGAAGAACAACACATGTTGGCTTGGTTCCTTTGATTTTAGTGTAGGTTCTCTTAAATTTTTTCTTGAAAAATCTCATCTTTTTCTCTTGAGTTATTGAGCTCTAACTCTTGATCATGTTCATGAAGGTGTGTTCTTGGTGGGAAAAAGTGGAGCTTTGAGCTAAAGGAGGGAGCTTAAAGATGTAAGCTTCCATTTGGGAAATAGAAACCAAAAAGCCTTTCTTTTTGCCTTGTGTTGCCTCAGTTTTGCCATGTTCAAGGGGGAAATATTGTTGAATTTTTTTTAAAGTCATGGTCTGATGATTATACTAAAAAGTGGGTGAGTTTTGAACCATGAAATGATGGATTTGATGAGTAAAGGTGCCACCTTTGGACCTTTGAGTGGAGTTCATGTAAAATGATGAACATGAACCCTAAAATGACCTATGAGTAATTCGACCATGTCATGGAATGGAAGGGTTTGATGACAAAAAAATGTTATGAAGTTGTTAAGTGTGAAAAAATTATAAGAAAGACTAACTAGGTGGGTTATCTCTAAGTAAAACACACTAATCTTGATTAAGGATGGCTTAAAACCCTAATTAACCTAACTAGGCAAATCTGCCCCCTTAAGTATATGAGGGTTTAGTTGTGATAAAAATAAGGAAAGTATGAATTAGTGGATTAATAAAGGGTAAGGATTAATTAACTAAAGAAATGATTAAGAAATAAGTTAAAACCTTAATCTTCACCACTAATAATTCGGCCATGTATGCTAAGATAGGGTCACTATGTAAAATTATTATTAAGACCTAATTAGGACATTAATCTAGTGATTAAGTGAAGTGGACTATGCATAATACACTAATTAAAGATTAAACTCTAAAATTGAACTTAAGTAGGGTTTATGTTCACTAATCAAGCAATTAGTGAACTTGAAGTATCATGACATAATGTGTAACAGCCCGTTACGTACCGGTGATGTTATCATTGCATATAGTATTAAGTGCAGTTACAATCACAGTAATTGAGTTAATTAAATTACGGGTAAACTTTTTCTTTTATTAAATCCTTAACTTTAAATATTAGCCATTTCCGTAATCAATTAAAAACAACACTGTAATCGTAAATGCAAAACTCGCGGAAGCGTAAAACTTATTAATCACAACCCCTCCAAGCAATACCATCAACTCTAGGTGATAAAATGACATATTTTCAATTTTTGCACTGTGGGAATCGATTCCCAACCTCAAGGAATCGATTCCCAGCAGCTACAGTATCACGCAGAAGCTTAATTTTTGCTCCCCTGTTTTAAGGAATCGATTCCCAACAGCAAGGAATCGATTCCCAGCCTTCACAGTGGCTGAAATTCACGTGCTCTGTATCAGGGAATCGATTCCCAACAGCAGGGAATCGATTCCCTACTGTGGAAAACCAATTTTGACAGCTTTTTCACTTCAAAAGAGATCCATGATTTCATTCCTATCACTTTAATACTTACTATAACCCTTGTACCATTACAAATGTAGGCTCTAGGCCCTTCCATCATGCATATTCATTATGTAATGCATCAATTACAATATTTTCCATTCGTTTTTCCATTTACACATCATATGGCTCATTTTACATAAGTCACTAAATGCCTTTAAACATAATGTGTGGCCATGGACAAGTCTCATGCTCACCAAAATACCAATATAAACCAAAGACATAACTATACATCAATTTTAAAGGACTTAACATATAGTCATGATCATACAAAAGCATGGCAATATCAACATGCAACAAGTTCACAGCCTAAGTCCAAAGTATTAAACACTATGCTATTTGTATCAAATGGAATCCTCCAACATGCTATGCCCTCCATATGCACCTCATGCTCATCTCCTCCATGCTCAACATAACCTGAAATGGTGTCCCCAAACGCGGGATGAGATATACAAATATATCTCAGTAAACCAAGGGTACTAGAGGATCACTCCACCCCATGGCTCACTCAATGTGCAACAATAACATAATGTAAAATGCATAACATACAAAATCACAAACAACTGGACACAAATCAAAGAACATCCACATCAGGATTCCGTTCAAGGACCCCATCATATAACTCCCGGGAAGCTTCCTGGTGCCTCTTCCATGGATGAGACAATCCCATGGCAAAACCCAACTGGAACTCCTTATGAGCCCTATCCAGCGGAAGTCTCATGTTTGGATCATCATGGTACCGCTCCCAGAGTCGGCCCCACGGTGGTGCACCAACTAAGCAACTGGAAACGTGAAGAGCAGAGAATCAAGAGTTCTCATTGGCTGAAAGCAGAAGCAAAACATGGGAAGGTCTGCAAACAACGGCTAATAATCACCAAAACATGTTCCATTCAGCAATTCACGCAAGCTTCACACTCTGCTGCCACAGTCCCGTCCCCTCATTCAAGCAACTAGCTCCAAAGGAATTACAGTCTTGCCACTCCTCTTCCAGCTATAAATTGGACCACCCTCACACAAAAACATCATCGAATCCTGGAGGGTTTGCAGTCCGAAAGGAAGAGATCACTTAGTAGTAGTTAGTAACTTAGTTTAATTTTAAGTTGTAACTGTAGTTAAGTGACAACCCATCTTCTCTTCTCTGTAAACAACCATCAAGACTCCTCACGAGCAAATACCCATCTTTCTCCATTTTTTGTTTCTTTTTGTAAACTGTCTTTTAAATTAATATAAGTGTTTTTCTCTTCGTTCCAATTGTTATCTCTTGACTGAATCTCGGGTCTATGTGATCTCAGTTGAGAATAATTATGTTTAAACTATCAGCCATGAGCTGAACTATCTATGGAACGGGTAAACAGTGAAACTCTTAAAGAATTGTTTTCAAAACTCTTGACCGAAGCTTTTTGTATTTCTTTGGCTAAGTAAGCTATATTCATTGTGCGCCAATGGAAATTGGGTACATACTGAGAAAGGAACTTCCATCAGGAAGGGATTTCAGACAGCTTAGCCATTGGGGGAAGGTAGATGTCATGGCAAAAATGCTACTGGTCACCTTAGGAATAAGGGGCCAACTCGTCCATTTTAAGGTTCTGAACTAAGTACTTGTTGGAGTCAAGGGAGCCATAGGAATATGGAAACTTGTGATCCATCTAGACCATGAGCTGAGGAATCAGAGTTGGTAGGCAAAGAAACTGGGACAAAGCCAAAAGATGCTAAGTCTTGAGCAGAGAAAACAACCCCTTTAAGAGTGAAGCAGTAAATCTGTTCCTTCTGTTAAACTGTTTTAACCACCACCCTGTTGTCTCTTGATTATAGTTATTTCTGTTTTAGTAGTTTTATTTTATTTAGTACTTATAAAAACTCCAATAATTGTTATCTCACCTTCTTCTAAACAGGAAGGATCACATACATAACGCAGCGAGCAACTGTTTGCCATCAGATTGAACCTACTGCTCCTGAGGAACGTTGTCAAGACAGTAGGGAACATTTGACCAGACAGTTCATTTACTAACTTTTCTTCTCATTTTCACTCTTTTTAAACAGTGATAAAACAATAATTAGCACTCTATCCTCGTGGGAACGATAATTTGGGCATTAATACTCCCTTTATTACTTGATGCGTGCACTTGCGCACTTGGGTTGGCACTAAGGGACAAATTTGTATTCTGCAAGAACAGAGGAACGTCCCCTATCAGAACTTATATTTTTCCACCATCACCAAACCACCCAACAAGTTTTTGGCGCCGTTGCCGGGGATAGAAACACTAACTGTTGTTCTTATCATTGTTTTCTAACACATATACTGTATATCTGACTTTACTTTTATTTTATTTTTCTCTTTATCATTGAATCAGTTGTGCATATATATACCCTGTGCTATTGGTTTATGAGTGAAGAGTTTGAAACAGACTCTAACCACTCCATTGAAGTACCTGAGTTTCTCTTTGATCCTGAGCCAGAACGTACACTCCATAGGAGAAAAAGGAACCTCAGGGAAGAATTTCTTGAAAACATGGCTGATCACAATAATAACAATGAAGAGGTTCCCCCTGAACAGAACTTCAGAACTTTGGCTGCTCCTTTCAGGAACAGACCAGATAGGGGAGTAATCCTTCCCCTTGTAGCACCAAATTTTGAACTAAAACTTATCATGTTCCACATGATAAGGGAAGCAGGGGTCTTCAATGGACTCCCTGCAGAAGATCCTTACACACTCCTCACAACATTCCAAGATATTTGTGATAATTTTAAAGCTGAGGGTGTAACATAGGAGAGCATGAGAATGAGGTTGTTCCCTCACTCCTTAGGCTTAAAAGCTAAAACGTGGATGAAAACTCTCACCCCTGGATCAATCCACACATGCGGAGAACTCTCTAACAAGTTCATAGAGAGGTTTCTCCCAATGTCTCGACAAGCTGATGTTAGAGCTGAAATCTCTAACTTCAGAATGTTTCATGGAGAAAATCTCTATGAAGCATGGGAGAGATACAAGGACATCATAAGAAAATGTCCAAACCATGGGGTAGAGAGTTAGGGAGTGTTACAATCTTTCTATAAAGGAATTGACCATACTTCTCAATCTCATCTAGATTTTGCTGCAGGAGGATATTTCTTTACATAAACACTTGAATCAAGATACGAAATCATAGAAGGGACTGCTGAAAGATGTCTCCAATGGCCAATAGACAGAGTGAGCCTAGTGAGGAAGCCAGGCATGCTAGAACTGGATAAACAAACAGCTATGGAAGCCTAGCTGGCATCACTCATGAATGAAGTAAAGAACCTGAGAGCTGACCAAGCAGCACCAAGGATGGAAGTCTTACAACTCACAACAACTGAAACAGAACCATGCTCAGCCTGTGGTGACCTTCATGACTCAACAAACTGCCCATCCACTGCATTGGTGTGTTATGCAGAAAATTTTGACAATAGGAACTTCACCAGAGACAATCAACAAGCAGGACGAAATACACATTCAAGCCCTACAGGAACTATCATTAAGGATCAGAACCACAATAACCAATGGAGGCCACCCATTAACCAGAGACCATTCAACAACAATCAGCAGCAGTATCAGCAAGGTAGCAGCAGTGGAACGTTTGAACAAAGGAGAAACAACTACGTTCCGTTCCACAGAGATAACCAACGCATCAACACCATGGAAAATTATGTCAAGGAATATGTCACCAGGAATGATGCAGTGGTCAGGAACATTGAGTCCCATCTGGGGCAGATTGCTGCCAACCTTCAAACTAGAACACAAGGATCACTAGCAGGGAATACTGATCTTCCCTCAACAACCAAGCCAAAAGTAACACCTATCTCCCCTTCAGAGCAAATCAAAGTTGTCACCTTAAGAAATGGAAAAGCCACAGCACAGCCCACAGTTCAACCAAAGGAAAAGGAACAGACTGAAGCATCTGAAGCAGCCCCAAAAGCACAACAACAATCACCAGTCACAGATGAACAGAACCCAGAACCTGAAAAGGAAGCCAACAACCAACCAATCAGTCCAACTCAAAGCAAGCAAATATCAACAAAAATTATGTTCCCTCAAAGAACAAAAAAGCAACAGGAGGATAAGCACTTTGGAAAGTTCCTTGACATTTTAAAACAACTTCACATCAACATTCCTCTGGTGGACGCATTAGAACAGATGCGCAGGTACGTAAAATTCATGAAAGATGTCCTCTTAAAAAAAAGAGAAATAACGGAATATGAGACTGTAAAAATGACACAAGAGAGTAGCCAGTACTTAGGCAGACTCCCACCTAAGCTTCAAGACCCAGGAAGCTTCACCATTCCTTCATTATAGGAAACACGTACCAAGGGAAAGCCTTGTGTGATTTAGGGGCCAGCATCAATCTCATGCCCCTATCTGTCTTCAAACAATTATCCGCTGGACCAGCTAAACCCACCACAGTGACTTTGGCAGACAGATCCATCGTCAAGCCAGAAGGGAAGATTGAAGATCTGCTAGTCAAAGTAGACAAATTTATCTTACCCGCTGACTTCATCATTCTGGATTATGAAGCTGACATTGACGTTCCCATCATTCTGGGTAGACCGTTCCTAGCAACTGGAGGAGCAGTTATCAATGTACAAAAAGGGGAACTAACCATGAGAGTTCATGACGATGAGATCAAGTTCAATATTTTCAAAGAAATAAAGTTCCAGGATGAAGGAGAAGACTTGGAAGAATGTTCTGCTCTCACAAAAAACAGAGGAAGAAGAATATGAGGAAGAAGAAGAAGATCCACAACAGGAAGAGCAGAGTTGCTATCTGCAAGAAAGAAGGCCTGAACCTTTGATAAGAACTGAAAAGGAGAAGCAGCTCAAAAGACCTTCTTCAGAAAAACCTCCTGAGTTAGAACTAAATCCCCTTCCCCAACATTTGAAGTATGCATATCTGGGGAACAACAACACCCTTCCTGTGATCATTTCTTCATTTCTTACCAAGGAACAAGAAGAATTGTTGCTTGACAAGCTCAAAAAGTATCAAGGAGCCATCAGTTGGACCATAGCTGATCTCAAAGGTATCAGTCCCTCATTCTGTATGCATAAAATATTATTGACTGATCCTAACAATTTTTCAGTGGAACACCAAAGAAGATTGAACCCTATAATGAAAGAAGTGGTGAGAAAGGAAGTTATGAAATGGCTGGATGCAGGGATCATATACCCAATATCTGACAGCAGTTGGGTAAGTCCTGTCCAATGCGTCCTAAAAAAAGGAGGCATAACAGTGGAGGAGAATGAAAAGAATGAGCTGATACCTGTAAGAAAGGTTACAGGATGGAGAATCTGCCAAGATTACATGAAGCTCAACAATGCCACCAGGAAGGACCATTTCCCACTCCCTTTTACAGATCAGATGTTGGACCACCTAGCAGGAAAAGAATACTTCTGCTTTCATGATGGATATTCGGGGTATAATCAAATTGCCTTGGCACCAGAAGATCAACATAAAACCACCTTCACCTGCCCATATGGAACGTTCGCATTCAGAAGGATGCCCTTCGGGTTATGTAATACACCAGCAACGTTCCAGAGGTGTATGTTCTCAATCTTTTCTGATCTAATAGGTGAAGGAGTAGAAGTCTTTATGGATGATTTTTCAGTACTGGGAACGTCATATGATCACTGCTTGGACAACTTAGAAGAAGTTCTTCAAAGGTGTCTGTCCTCTAATCTAGTGCTTAATTGGGAAAAATGCCACTTCATGGTGAAAGAAGGAATAATCCTGGGACACAAGATTTCCAGAGAAGGACTGGAAGTGGATCAAGCCAAAGTAGAAGCTATAGCAAAATTGCCGCCACTAGTAAGTGTAAAAACCTTGAGATCTTTTTTAGGGCATGCAGGCTTTTACAGAAGGTTTGTTAAAGATTTTTCCAAAATAGCTAGACCTTTGTGCTACTTATTAGAAAAAGATATAAAATTTGAGTTTAACTCTGATTGTGTGAAAGCTTTTGAATTTTTGAAAAATAAGCTCATCACCACGCCTGTCATCCAACCTCCAGACTGGAACTTACCCTTTGAACTAATGTGCGATGCAAGTGATCATGCTATTGGGGTAGTTCTGGGCCAGAGGAAGGACAAACTTTTTCGTAGCATATATTACGCCAGTAAAACTCTAAATGAAGCTCAGGTGAACTACACAGTTCACCTGAAAAGGAGCTATTGGCTGTAGTATATGCTTGTGAAAAATTCAGGCCTTACATTTTAGGATCAAAAGTTACTGTCCATACTGACCATGCAGCTCTCAAGTATCTCTTCTCAAAAAAGGAAGCAAAACCAAGATTGATAAGATGGGTCCTACTGCTGCAAGAGTTCAATCTGGAGATCAAAGAAAGAAAAGGATGTGAAAATCAAATTGCATATCATCTGTCCAGATTGGAACACATTGAAGTGGGGCTACCAATCAAGGAAACGTTCCCTGACGTACAATTGTTTGTCATTAATCACATAGAGACAAATGCTCCTTGGTTTGCTGATATAGAAAACTTCCTTGCAGTAGGGCTGGAACCTTATGAGGCGAATAAAATGCAGAAGAAGAAATTTTTTCACGATTGCAAGAACTACCTCTGGGACGAACCACTACTGTTCAGAAGATGCGCAGACCAAATGATAAGAAGGTGCGTTCCAGAAGAAGAACAGCCTCAAATCCTTCAACACTGCCATTCGTCCCCATATGGAGGACATCTAGGTGGAATCAAGACTGCCTCCAAGGTTCTTCAATCAGGTTTCTTCTGGCCTTCCCTTTTTAAAAATGCACTTCAATATGCAAAAAATTGTGATAAATGTCAAAGAGAAGGTAACTTGACTAAACAAAATGAAATGCCCCTCAATCCGATCCTAGAAGTTGAATTATTTGATGTTTGGGGCATTGATTTCATGGGACCTTTTCCTCCTTCGTGTGGGAACAAATTCTTATTAATGGCTGTAGATTATGTAAGCAAGTGGGTAGAAGCAGTTGCTTTACCCACTAATGATGCTAAGGCGGTTACAAAATTTTTAAAGAGGAACATATTAACCAGATATGGAACCCCATGTTGTCTCATCAGCGACGGAGGGAAACATTTCATCAACCGCCAACTTGAGAGGTTGTTGGAGAAATATGGAATCAAACACAAAGTTGCAACCCCATATCATCCACAAACCAGTGGTCTCATTGAAGTCTCTAACTGATAGGTTAAGAGAATTTTAGAGAAGGTAGTTAATCCTTCTTGAAAAGACTGGTCTCTCAAGTTAGACGAGGCATTATGGGCTTACAGAACAGCATATAGAACACCCTTAGGGTGTTCCCCATACAGATTGATATTTGGCAAAGCTTGCCACCTCCCACTCGAACTGGAGAACAAGGCTTACTGGGCAGTCCAAACCCTCAACATGGATGGAAAAACAGCTGGAGAGAAGATATTGCTGCAACTCGAAGAATTAGAGGAGTTCAGAGGGAACACATACGAAAATCATAAATTGTACAAGGAGAAGATGAAGAAGTGGCACGATAAAAGGATCAGGAACAGAGATTTCAAAATCGATCAGAAGGTGCTACTCTTCAACTCCAGACTCAGACTGTTCCCAGGTAAACTCAAATCAAGATGGACCGGGCCATATCAAATTGTTAACGATGCAGGAAACAGAACTTTTGAAATCCAAGGTTCAGAACATGGCCGTTCCTACAAGGTAAACGGGCACAAGTTAAAACTATACAATGCTGAAACCTTTGATGAAAAAGAGAAAAGTATCCCTCTTTCTGAAACCCCTTGAGAGGTAAGTACCATGTCTAGCTAAAGACATTAAACTAAGCGCTGACTAGGAGGCAACCCAGTAGATACATTTATTCTCTGACAAAGAGCAAAGTTTTGGGGTGGTTATCCATAACCACATAGCTCCCAAAAAGGAGGGAACGTCTGATGTTCCTCTCCAAAAAGTCCAAATAAAGTACGTTCTGTTCCAGGAACGTAGTTTTGGGGTGGTCTCTAACTACACCTCCACAATGAAAAGGAGAAAACCCTCCTATCTATCTTAGCTTAGTTTATTTTTCAGTTCTGTTTTAATTTAGTTTCTTTCTGTTCCCTTGTTATTAAACTTTTTAAATAGAAAAGACTTTTTGATCAAACTGTTTGGTATATGCATGCATTTCAGTTATAGTATTAAGACTGCCTAATTCTTTTGGATTAACTAACATACATGAAACACAAAGTCACTGACTAATCATGCTTGTTCTTTCTCTGAGTACTTGAAAATAGAAACAGTGCAGGAAATTTAATCCTCAGATTTTTGAAAGAAGCTGATCTGTGTGAACTCAAACTAGTAAGGAACGGAAAAATGCCAAACACCTACTTCTGAGAGCGTTCCTGAGGTGTAACCACAATGAAACTTCTCAGCTTACCTTAATGTTGTAAGTACTGCTGAAGACAGATGAATTCTGCTGTTAAGGATCAAAACAGAATCACACACTCACCTCACCTCAGTCATACACCATCTGGTCAATCAGAAAGAACAAGGAACGTACTCAACAATGAATAAAAAAAGGACAGAAGAAAAACAAAGAAAAAGGGGAACAGTGTTGGACGTTTAGCAAGTGCACTAGTCGTACAAGTAATAAAATGATGAGTAAAGATCGTTCCCACGAAGAATTGTGTTCAAACACCAATAAACCATAGAAAACTAATTTGACTCAGATAAGAGTTTGTAAAAATCATGAATAATTTGTCACCAGAAAATTGATTGTAAGTAATTTGACACAAAACAAATATGGATTAGGAATTAATAAAACAACAAGTAGTCAGAAAACAACTTTCCTCCATAATAACCCCTGTAAAAACTGATCATATGATGAATTCCTTTTCA